CTTTATCCGGACATACGGAGGCTCGGATGGCTCATTAAACTCTTTATAACTCTGTAACAGACAAACAACGGACGCCATCTTGTTTCAAACGGTGAAGAATTTCAGTTCCGGGCCGGATGAGTGGCTGAGCTTCAAAATAAAAGTCTGGAGCCTCATTTATAAAACGGATCAATAATCAATCAATTAATGAACTTTTAGCAGGTTTATATCGATCCGTCAGTTCCAGTGTGGCATTAGCTTAAAAATGATATTAAATATATGTATTAAGAAAGTCACAAATAGAATAAAGATGATTTATTTCAGCCCCGAGTTCAATTCAATTCAATTGTTTGTTTGTTTGTTTGTTGTTATTATTTTACTCTCTTATGTCGTTGTGTTGACATTAATATTACAGTAGGAGGTGTAATCCATGATGGTACACAGAGAGTTTGTCATTGTAGCTTATTTGTTATCACTAAAGACAAAAAATATGTACAAAAAAACTCGACATAATTTCCCTCAGTTTATGCTCCCTCAGAGAGTCAGACACCCCCTCTCTGTAATCTAATCTAATATAACATTTTAAACTATATGTTCTTAATATGTGTTGTTTCTATATCTGGAGTTTGTAATGAAAGTAATGGGATTATTAAAGTATTTCTGATTCTGATTCTGATGTTTGTTTGTCAGTATTATTGACCAGTATTATTGACCTTATTGTCCCCCCCCCCTTTTATGACAATCTCAGTGTATTAACGACTGCATTTCGTTGTTTCTCCTTTACATTCAGGTGTCTACAAATGTATTGTGATTAAAGAAGAGGTTCCCCCTGTCCCTGTGAAGAGGGAAGAAGATGATGATGATGAAAGAGAAACCTCAGTCCTCACAGCTTCATCAAAGACAAACTGAACAGATGGAAACAGATGATGGAGAGGACTGTGGAGGACCAGAACCAGAACCAGGCAGGAACTCAGATCCAGATAGACATCTAGAACCCGGTACTGAAGACTGTTCTGGGTTCAACTCTCTGAGTGGATGTAACACTGTATTACAAAAATTAGACACGAGTACTGACAGGAACTAGAAAAAGAGATCACATCTCTCCTGTACTAGCTTCTCTGCATTGGCTCCCTGTAAAATGTAGAATAGAATTTAAAATCCTCCTCCTCACCTATAAAGCTCTTCATGGTCAGGCCCCTTCATATCTTAAAGAGCTCATAGTACCCTATTACCCCTCTAGAACACTACGTTCTCTGAATGCTGGGCTACTTGTGGTTCCTATAGTCTCTAAAAGTAGAACAGGAGCCAGAGCCTTCAGTTACCAAGCTCCTCTCCTGTGGAACCAGCTTCCAGTTGTGGTTCTGGAGGCAGACACCCTCTCCACATTCAAGAGTAGGCTTAAGACATTCCTCTTTGATAAAGCTTATAGTTAGGGCTGGATCAGGTGAGTCCTGAACCATCCCTTAGTTATGCTGCTATAGGCCTAGACTATCGGAGGATTTCCCATGGTGCACTGAGCTCCTCTCTTCCTCTCTCTTTCTGCACTCATTCATGTCCCATTAATGCATGTTACTAACTTCACTTCTTCCCCGGAGTTCTTGTGCTTTCTCGTCTCACAGGTTCTTATCGATCCTGGTGGAGCCTCCTGCCATGGTCCTGCTAGATTGCCATTGCCAATACTGTTGTTGCTGTGCACCTGTCTGTCTGTCTGTCTGTGTCTCTCTCTGTCTCTGTCTGTCTGTCTCTCTCTCTCTCTCTCTCTCTTTCACCCCAACTGGTCGAGACAGACGACCACCCACCTAGAGCCGGAGGATCTGTCCTAGGTTTCTGCCTTTTAACAGGCAGTTTTTCCTTGCCCTTGTCGCCAAGGTCTTGCTCATGGTGGTACTGTTGGGTCTCTGTAAATAATGTTATAAAGAGTTCAGTCTAGACCTGCTCTATTTGAGGGATAACTTCTGTTATGAATTGGCTCTATACAAATAAAATTTAATTGAATTGAATTGAATTAATAAACTGGTGCCAGTGTAAAGTTTATCCAGCAGGGGGCGCTGTGATTTATAATATTGTGGCAGCAGCACAGAGTGAGAGAGAAGAAGCAGCTCTCAGCAATGAAACCAGAATCAGTTGACAATGTCTATGTTAAATTATTAAATGTTAATGAATATTTGAATATTCTGTATTAAAGTTCTTTAATAAAGAAGCCTTCTGAGTACCTCTGTAGAGTCACAGCAGTGCACAGTCCACATAGAAGATCAATATTTCACAATATCAGCCACCATAACACCTTTATTAAACAGAACATGCTCGTATATCATTAAAGTCTTTAAGAGCTGCTATAAGTTCTGCCCACTGAGACTCTTCAGAGACTGGCAGGTAAGTTAACTGGGGGCAGTGCTGGTTTCTTCCTGAACCTCCACCGTGGATAGATACAGTAAATTACATTCATGTTGTGGAACAGATTACTTTCTCTATCATCGTTAAAATGTGTATGTGAATTCTGGACCAGATGGGTTGAGTGTGTGAGACCCTTACAGACAGATTTTGTAGAGATTTGGAATCAGTGACCCTGTAATGACTTTAACAAACCTCATTGATTTTAAGATATTTTCCTCTGCTGCCGTGCTTTCATTGTGAGTTACCTCCACCAAACTGTACAACGGTTTTAATTTAAACGTTTGACGGCAGAGGAAATAAAGCTGCTGCCTTATGAAATACAGTCCTTTCTGAACTTTGGGAACCTCGCTGGAGATACGAGATGACACAAAAGTTTCTCTGTTGATATTTCATGTCAGAAAAATATTTAATATTTAGGCTTTTTGGACATTTAATTGTTTACGGTAACATATTACACAAGATTTAACAAGAACTCGCTGCCTTCCTGGACTTTTGTTGTTCATATGAGACTAAAACTATAAAATGTGAGCGTCAAAACTTCCTGCAGTTCCCAGTTTGGTTCATTGTTACGTTTATAGAATATAAAATATCCATAAAATATGTCAGTTTACTAAATGAGAGAAAAGAGTTCCCTTAAGGAAAATGGGTTGGGAACCACTGATATAGAAGTATGGGTATAGGGCTTTTATTTTGAAATGTGACCCGGAAGTAATGGCTGTATTTCCGGGTGAGCTCAGTCTGTCGCTGCTTTCTCTCTCTGGCGGTAGAATCGGTAATAATTCGGTAATAATTCGGTAAATATTCGGTAAATATTCGGTATTAGTCGCTTTCCTCGGAGGTCTGAAGATGTCCGGACTCCTCAGTCTGAAGCGTTTCATCCAGCAGCGGCTGACGGAAGCCGTGGAGGACATATTCGGGCATGTTGAGCGAACGATCAGCGAGTATGAGGAGGAGATGGACCGGAAGCTGCTGGATGCGGGTTTAACGGCGGAGACGGATCCAATGAGAGCAGGTGGGTCTGCTAAGCTAATGTCTGCTACAGAGCTAATGTATGCTACAGAGCTAATGTATGCTACAGTGCTAATGTATGCTACAGAGCTAATGTATGCTACAGAGCTAATGTATGCTACAGAGCTAATGTATGCTACAGAGCTAATGTATGCTACAGTGCTAATGTATGCTACAGTGCTAATGTATAGGCTACAGAGCTAAGCTAACAGTAGCATCCCTACGGGGGGGCCGAGGTGGCTGTGGCTCAGAGGCAGAGCGGGTCGTTCCTTAATCTGAAGGTTGTGGGTTCGATCCCCGGCTCCTGGTGCCACATGTCAAAGTATCCTTGAGCAAGATACTGAACCCCAAATTGCTCCTGATGCCGTGCATCGGTGTGTGAGTGTGTGTGAAAGGGTGAATGTGAGTGTGAAAGGGTGAATGTGTGTGTGAAAGGGTGAATGTGTGTGTGAATGTGAGTGTGAAAGGGTGAATGTGAGTGTGAAAGGGTGAATGTGTGTGTGAATGTGAGTGTGAAAGGGTGAATGTGAGTGTGAAAGGGTGAATGTGTGTGTGAATGTGAGTGTGAAAGGGTGAATGTGTGTGTGAATGTGTGTGTGAAAGGGTGAATGTGTGTGTGAATGTGAGTGTGAAAGGGTGAATGTGAGTGTGAAAGGGTGAATGTGTGTGTGTGAAAGGGTGAATGTGAGTGTGAAAGGGTGAATGTGTGTGTGAATGTGAGTGTGAAAGGGTGAATGTGTGTGTGAATGTGAGTGTGAAAGGGTGAATGTGTGTGTGAATGTGAGTGTGAAAGGGTGAATGTGTGTGTGAAAGGGTGAAAGGGTGAATGTGAGTGTGAAAGGGTGAATGTGTGTGTGAAAGGGTGAATGTGTGTGTGAAAGGGTGAATGTGTGTGTGAAAAGGGTGAAAGGATGAATGTGTGTGAAAGGGTGAATGTGTGTGTGAAAGGGTGAATGTGTGTGTGAAAAGGGTGAAAGGATGAATGTGTGTGAAAGGGTGAATGTTTGTGTGAAAGGGTGAAAGGGTGAATGTGTGTGTGTAAATGTAAAAGTATGAAAAACATAAAATCAAAGTACTTTAAGCTGCTGAGACCGATTCTAAAATCTAAATAAATGAAGATATGAGAGATAAGAAAACTGTACAGAAAACTGGAGTGCATAAATAAAGTGAATAAAGCAGTTCCACCTTAAATACACTGAATAAAGCAGTTCCACCTTAACAATCACTGCTTCTCCCACGCTGTTGGACAGACAAAGGACGTCCCGGAGGGGCTGCGAGCCGAGCTGCTGCTAACGTTAGCTCAGCTTGTTTCTCTGATAACTTAAGATCCAGACGTCCGATGACTAAAATCCTTCATCCGGTTCAAATCTAGAGTTAAAAAGCACCAAGATCTAAACAGTGGATGGTAAACAGTCAGTGTATGACAGCTTCTGGCAGACGACCACAACACTGACGCAGGCGCAAAGCGGATATGACCCCATCGATTATTGATTATTGATTGAATCAACTCCATATAGAACATAGACTTTATACATTGTTAAATGAAGAGATGTTACAGATTATAGATTTAAAATGATTCCCTCTTAAACTCAATATGTGTCTTTCTCTGTGTCCTGCAGACGTCCAGCAGCTGTCGGTGATTAAAGAAGAGGTTCCCCCTGAGCAGCAGCAGGAGTGGAGATCCAGTCTGGACCAGGAGGACCCAGAGCCCCCACACATTAAAGAGGAACAGGAGGAAGTCAGGACTAGTCAGGAGGGAGAGCAACTTCAAGGGTTGGAGGAGGTGAAGGAGGAGGAGGATGAAGAGAGAGCTCAGTCATCACAGCTTCATCAAACAGAACCTTTAGGAAGAAGCTTAACTGGACAGTTGGAAACAGGCGCTGATGGAGAGGACTGTCAGGGACCAGAACCAGCCAGGAACTCCAATCCAGATAGTTATTTTCAACCCGTTAGTGATGACAAGGCTTTAAACTGTTCTGAACCGGAGACTGAAGTCAGTGATGAAGACTGTAAGGAGAGCCGTCCGTCAGGTTCCAACTGTCTGAAATACAATGAACTCCCTGTGGGTGATGTCAAATGTAATACTGTCAAAAAGTCATTTATCTGCTGTGAATGTGGAAGAAAATTTGGCCGCAAGGACAGTCTGCGAAGACACGTGAGGTTTCACACGGGAGAGAAACCATACAGTTGCTCAGTTTGTGGAAAAAGATTTTCTCAGAGGCCCAACTTAATCCGGCACATGAGATGTCACTCTGGAGAGAAACCTTTCAGTTGCTCCTTCTGTGACACCAGTTTTGCCGTGCGCAGCGCTTTGGTGAACCACATGAGAATCCACACCGGGGAGAAACCATTTAGTTGCTTGTATTGTGAGAAAAGCTTTACACAGAAGGGAGGCCTGAAGAAACACATGACGGTCCACACAGGAGAGAAACCATATAGTTGCCCAGTGTGCGATAAGAGTTTTTCTCAAAAGGCGAATCTGACTTACCACTTCTCTGTGCACACCGGACAGAAACAGTTCAGCTGCAGTGTTTGTGACAAAAGATTCACGTGGCAGTCGCAGGTCAAAAGTCATAAGTGTGTTGGTGAGAGCAGCAGCGCTAGCTGAACTCTACAGTCTATAACAATGTACAGTATTACAGTAATGCAATTTCAGCTAATCCCTGTGAATTCTGCGCAATTTAGTTCAATCACCTCAACCTTTCTGCAAAAGTTTATGAATCATTGCAGCTTCAAAAACACAAAACAGTGAGTCAAACGTCTCCAAATTAATTTGCTTGATTCTAGTCTGACATTTACCCTCCAAACTGTGAGATTATCTTCTCACTGAAACAAGTTGCCTTCAGTTTTTACTATTTTTGCAGTTTTTCCTCTTTCCCATGATTTAATCCAACATTGCAACATGGTTTGCAATTTTTTCAAAAAGCTGCTGTGAAAGAGAATTAATGTGAGATCCTGCAGGGACCGATAAAAGATGGTAGTTTTATGAGCTAATAGTAAGAATGCTAACAGTTCTATAGTTATTCTGTAGTACTGTGTTGAATATCTGGGCTGCTTGATTACGGAACAAAATCATAATCACGATTATTTGGAGACATAAAGCATTTATTGACTTTTTCCCTGAATTTTATAATAATAATAATAATAATAATGATAATAATAATATCAACTGTAAACCTATCATCCCTCATCTGTCTGTAGAGCTCTGAACCTCAAGTTGGGCTTTACAGTCGTCTCCATGTTGGTGTTTAGCAGCCAGCGGAGGTCTCGTAAAACGAGTTGAGCTGCTCTTATTGGCAGCTCGCCTGCTCACACAGGATCTGGTATTCCAGATAAACAGTGAAATGTGTTTGTGAACAGATTTGAGGAGAGAAATAGTCAACAACAGAATCTGGATCCATATCTGATCAGCACTGTTTGACAGTTTGATCTGAGTTTGGTGTGTTGAGCTGGACGGACTCACTGAGAATGAGCTGTCAATCACAAGGTAGCCCCGCCCTAAAGCATACCCTGCTTTATGGTCTGTTTTACTCTAAATGGGACCATCAGTTACTAAATGAACATCATGCTGTATGGAAGAAGACTGAAACTAGAGACTGAGACCAGAAACTCATCAGGAAACTGTTTACTGAGCTCATCAATGAACTTCTCCATAAGACTCAATACTATCAGAGTGGAGCTGCCCGCTGCTGGCTGTTAGAGAGAACATCAGTATTGATTGTGCTTAGCGACCATGATCACTGTAGAGCACTGATACGAGCTGTTGTATGTTTAGACTCACTGCCACAGAGCGTAACGACGTCCCTGCTGCTCTCCCAAAACAAGTTCACTGTGTAGGAGTTAAGCAGGAATCTGCCTTTCGGGAACTGTGCTATATCCACGTTCATCAGAGGGCGTTCACTGTACAAAAATCTGCACACCGCCAATTTCTTGTGACTGTGCAAAAGGTCCATACAACCACCGTCCTGTGGGAAACACGCCTCCAAACAGACTCCAGAGGCCAGCAGAAACAGAACTACTACGTGGCCGTTTAGAAGTCTATTTAGTTCTTACCACCGAATAAAGTAACTGATAACTAACCGATGTGAAATAAAAGAGGCGAGCCAGGATGTTGAGAGCTGTCGCTTTGCAGCAGTCGGTGGTCAGAGCTAGCTCATCTGCCCGGGCTAGCTTGACTTTTAGCTCATCCTTCTTCTCCTCAGTGCGTTTCGGTGAGTCATAGTAGCTCTCGCTGGCGTAACGTACCGCACTGACTGGCAGAACGACAGACCGCCGCACATCAGACTTTATCCTCTCGGCCAGCAGTGCTGGGAGCCATCCTCGGACACAGCTACGGGTGCTTGTTCTGAATGTGGTGCAGTGTAGTGCTAGCACTGCTACTAAACTGAAGAGTAACCGCTAACCGCTAAAAAATGTTAAATGTCTAAAATGTTGACATTGTGAGAGAGAATGTGTGTGTGTGTACCTTTTCTTGTTGAGAAAGCATCTCGGCCTGAGCTGATTTATAACAGGAGGAGATTAGAGGCACAACAATCTGTTTATCTCGATATTATCTTGTTTTCAAAGTTGTTTGAAGCCAAAATTATAACTGAACTGGACTTTGATGAATGGCCCGGCCCTGTTGGATGAACAGTTCTGACGTGTGTTCTGGTACTGAGTGTTGATATTTATTGAGAATAAACTGATGGATAAACTGACTCTTTGTTTTCTGTTTGATCTGAAACTCAGAAGATGGCTGTCATTGTTTTGGGGCAGCAACCAACCAGCTACAAACATCCCAGTTATATTAAACCAGAGTGATGTTGTCCGTTATAGTTGGTGGTAAACAGACATGTAGCTTTCAATAAATGTTGGCTGCAGATGATAAAATACACTCTGCTTATTAATGTAGCACTTGTATCCTCTTTCATTCTGCTCTGGAGCGGAGGAATGTATCTGAGGAGGCGGTTTGAATGCAGGTGAATCCGAACGTGAAATCGATAAATCGAAGAGTTCTCTACAGTCGACGCAGCGATGTGAGTGAGTCAGACAATACAAAGAAAGCGGTGTTAAAATTCAACTGTTGAATATTAGGTTAATATTTTATTCATTATGTAGTTTATTAGTGTGACAGTAACTCATTATTACTACTAATATTACTCCCTACAGTAACTAGTAGTGTAACTAATTACTGTTGGCAGGGAGTAATAAATTAAATGACATTTACGTTTATCGACTCTTTAAAATTCTGGAGGTTTTATTTTGACGAGCAACCGGAAGTGCTACCCGGAAGTGATGATGTTGTTGCCGTGTTTGGGGAAATGGCGTCCAGCCGTCGTCCCGTTGTCGTGCTGAGAAAGTGTGTGTGACATCCACAGTAATGAGCCATCCGAGCCTCCGTATGTCCGGATAAAGCTGTCTGAATGGACTTTGTGCTGTTCACCGTTTTTCGGAATGTTTTCCCGCTGACTCATCTCCCGGTAGCCTACAAAGCTACAGAAGTTAGCTTAGCATGCTAGCTGTAAACAGAGCGGAGCTTAGCAACACAGCGCTAGTCAGAGTGACTGTTTGATGGAGAGCAAACAGTGTTTTTGACGGAGTTTGTGTGATTGTGTGAAAATGTGTAAAGTCCAAATGCTGAGAGCGTTGGTGAAGCAGCGACTAACTGCGGCTGCTGAAGAGATATTTGGGCTGTTTGAAAGAACGATAGCAGAGTACGAGGAGGAACTTTGTCGTTCAAAAGAGGAGAACGAGCGACAACGGAAACTACTGGACGCTGTTTTCAACCCTCAACTTCGGTTACACAGAGCAGGTTGGTTCACTGTACTGCTTCTTCTCTCACTGTTCACACTCTGAGCTGGAAGTAGTATTCACAGCCTTTACTGCAGTAACAGGATGATCAGCACAATGGACTCAAAGGAAAAGTAGTGATAGTGCAGGAACAGGTTGGACTATTATATCTGATGGATCAATATTACTGCTGCATTCATGTGGATGTAGATGTTGAACTACTTTATATACTGTTGCTACTTTAATCTACAGCAGTGACGATGCATTTTCCTGCTCATCCAGGAGGGTTTTTAAATAGTTTATTTAGTTTTAGAATTAGGAGAATTTTCTCAACCCATAAAGTAATATTTTCCTCGTCAACTATTCATTGAACAACATTTAGTTCATTCTGGTTACATAAATGCAAAAAACTGTCTCCTCCCCTTTGTTACTTCCCGAGCCATTTAAGGTGACTATGTGTTTAACAGAATATATATAGATACCTACAAAAAGTATCAAGCAAGCAAATAACCTACAACAATGGTAACAAGATGTAATTAAAGCATTGTATATTTCTTATGAGTAGTTTTACATTAGTGTCGTCTTCTTCTCCCTCATGTATTTTACATACAGTAGAGAGTTATATGGTTATATATTTTTATTAACTAAATTAATGAAGAGTGAATAGCATGAAATGACAATTCAAACAAACAGCAACAAGTAACAGAGTATGTGGACAGTTAATTAATTATTAATATTGGGTGATTCAGGAGAGATGGTGGATTTTGCGATGCGGCCAGTGGATTTCAAATATTGTGGGAATAAAACTTTAAAACTACGAGGCCCTAATTGAAAATTCTTCTAAGCTTAATGATGGAAATCAAAGCTTACAGACAGACACCA